GTGGTTCCTGATGGAGTCTGCCCTCAGCCATTAAACCCTTAGTGTCAGAACTGATTTGTCTGCAACTGTGTCATCACTCCACTCTCCTCACAGTGCACTCAATCACACACACGTGTGTGTGTGACAGAGGTTTCCGCCCACTCAATCACACACACGTGTGTGTGTGTGTGACAGAGGTTTCCGCGTAATGTTATCAATGTGGTGAGTCCGAGTTGGCCACTAAAACACAACATTTGACAGTGTCAGGCTGCCCAGCTCTGTCAGGAGTACGACTGTGTTATCAACACGCACTGAAAGTTGACATGTGTACACAGGCAGACAGTAGTGCAGCGGAAGATACCAATAAAGATTGTGTCTCCAGACGGTGCCGTTGTGTTAATCATTGTAGAACAATGCAGACGGATCCCCGATGGCCGTGATAACAGCCTCACAAACACACACACACACATACACACATACACATGAACAATGACACTCCCCCAGCTGTCTAGACAGAGCATGAATGACTGCTGGAGATCTCAGAGGAAGTCAGAGCACACGCTGTTCCATTCACCTGTCCTCTCCTGCTTGTTTTCATGTATCTGTAGATGCATCCTGACGTCTTCATAGACCCCTGGGTTCACCATGAAATATGAAACAGGCTTTACCTCCACTGTAGCTAGGGATCAGGATGTCTGGCTTCAACTGAAGAAGAAAATATATAACTTGTTTATACGCTAACTCCTCTATAACCCAGTTTATCCGCTCGTATGTTTCACCCGTGCTTCATCTGATCTGGTTCCATACCATTAACGTACCCTCGCATACTGCCACCTGGGGACGCCATGGTTCAGTGGGTAGGAGCTGTGTCCCCAGGTTGTGTCTTAAAGGACATCTGGGGTAGAAACCTGTGCCAAATTACAAATGCTGATCATCTGTTGTGGTGACCCAGGAAGAAGGAGGAGAACCAACACTGTCACACTTTGTCAAGCCTAATGATGACGGTGGTGGTGACAGGTATGAAAAGTTGGACGGAATATTGATTTAAGATGGAAGTGGCCAGGATTTGATTTAAAAAAAATCTGATTTGGGCTGTGTACATTGTGGTTAGAAAATCAGATTTAGGTCACAAATATCGGCAAAAAGATTTGGACTTTGGCTGATTTTGCCTGCAGTGTGAACGTGGCAGGATCACTCTTTATGATTTCCAATCATCGAGAGCCTGAAAAACCAAAGTCAGCTGCGGCCTTTCAACCAAGGACTGGTCTTTCAGTTTGACTGATGTGATAAACTGACACAGAGGAATGGTCTGCCATTCATTATACACGTTTTTCAAGTTAGCGGCGTGAGCTTTTGACATTCACATAAGACAGTGACTGACAGAAATACGAGATGAGATGATGCATCAAAGACTGGAAAACACTGACAGGAGGAGGCGAGAGAGCTGGGAGAGTGCGTGGGGGGGGGGCAGTGGGTGCAATAAAGAGAGAGAAGATTATCACGAATGATAGAGGAAGTTGTTGACGTAGTTGTAACACGTAGAATAAAAACTCTCACTCGCTCACAGATGCACAGATGTGGAGATAGTAGCAGGTGTGCCCCAGGTGTCGCGGACACCCGGCCTGGTGTGGGTCGTCCTTTGTGGACATTGTCGTACCTCTAAACATCTCAGTCTCTTCAAACGACTTTGAGGCTCCACTTGGAAAAAGGCCAGTGGGAAATGATGAAACCACAAGATGGAGAAGTTATAAATACAGACGACGATCCTTCATTTCCTCATTTCGTCCGACTAGGGGAAGCCCGACTCGGCTGATGTTTTCTTTGTAGCGGGGATTGAGCACGCAGCTTTTGGTCACTGGGCTTCAGCTGTGCAGTTTGGCCAGTTAACAAAAGCTCTCTCTGACTGCACAGTCTGACTGTGATTATCATAATAAAACAACAAGCGGCGTCACTCAGAGTGCTTTCAATATGGGAAACACTTTTTGTCTGACCACATCCTCGTGCCAATCGCTGTCATTTTTAAACCACATATACTTAATTATTCACACAATAACAGACCAGGCTGAATGGGAGAGTGCATCATAATTTTGCTTTGCTGCTGAAATGATAGGGAGAAATTATCCGGTTCTCCTGACTGCAACTAGAGGCAGTTCTCAACTCTCAAAAGAGTGAAAGCCAAATAACACATTTAATTGGTCCCAAAAACTACATGGAAACCTGATGTTGGCTCGCCTGCACTGTTACTGCACTGAAAGAGGCGTTGAAAGAAATAACTTTCAGATCTGGTCATTGTCTTCCTGTCAAATCACACGTAAATAAAATTCCTTCCAGCTGCGTTAGAGCTTGCGTTGCCAAAACTTTCCATGTCTGTGTTTTCTGCACATGACTCTTTTTCTGGGTGGGACAATCAAACCTTCCCTTATGTCATGTTAACTAGTCTGTGACAATGGAAGGAAATGACTGGAACATTACATATTAGAGATGTTTTATTGACACATTTCAGCCAGAAATCTCCCACTTACATGATTCATGTTCACACAGTCCTGGTGATTTGGATGACCAATAATCACCTCGACTTCTAGATGTAACTGTGTCCAGTTCTGCAAAATAGGACATTCAAAAGCCCGTGGCTGTGACAGTCGGGGATATCTGTGGTCTGTATGCATGAGTGAGTTTCCCTGGCATGCGCCGTTTGTATTTGCATTAAACCAATTCATCTCTCCGTCCTGTGTGTCATCAGTTTAATGGAACAGGTGTTTTCTTTTTCACTAGCGTTTGCAGCGCAGCACGCTCTGGGGACGCGTGATTACAGCTCTGAAGATGTCGGCTCCCTTTAAACCACAGCGTTCACTGCAGGAGAGAGAGGCGGGCGTGGGTGTCAGTGGTGCAAAGTAGAAAAGGAAGGCAGTAAAACGCATCACCAAAAGACTCCCCATCCCCCTCCTGCCTTTTGTGCGCCTTTGGCCTGTCCGCATGCATTCACGTTTAGGTGTGTGCAAGTGCATGAATGAGTGCTCATGTGTAAAGAAGCACAGAGAACAAAGGGAAACTGCAGCTCTCACTCAGGAAACACGAGACCTGAGCCGCTTCTCTGCAAACCAGTGTGTGCTTGACCTTTAACACTGGGGGACAACACTTTATAGAGGTGGCTCAGCGGTGGGGGGTTGGTGTGTTGTTTGGCTCTAAAAGTGCTATTGTTAGTTGACCATTAAATAAAGGCTGTCTAGTCAACACTTCTCTCTAGGAATGACAGAATGAAAACCTCCAGCCTGAGAGCTGCGAACAGAACTGCAATTGATGCAGTTACAATTTGCATACAACCCAGCCCTGTAGGTGGCAGTAATTCACCTAATTTATGTTTGCCAGCTGCAAAGAATCTGCATTCAAGTGACGGCAGCGCAAGAGATTTTGGTAAATAGTGATGGAAGATGAAACCAATTTGATTTCTTGGCTTGTTTGCAAATAAAAGACAACCTCTCAGTGGCAGCTTTAGTGAAGCTTTGTATTCTTCAAATTGTGCCCTGAGCCAAAAAAATAAAAAATGAAGAATCTGAAAATATTGAATAGCTATAATTGCACTATAAGTTTGCATTAATCAGTATGCAGATGACGCTGTGCTATAAAACTTTTTGTGTCAATTGCTAATTTTAAAAAACGTGGGTTAATTGTCTTCAATTACACATCTTTTAATGTAGACATTTTTTAACACACCAAGAGCACATTTTAGTGTTTATCAATTATCAGCTAAATTCCTATTCTTAGTTAAAAATAAGACATCTGCGAAAGCCAAAACTTGCAGACTGAGTGCATCTGCTACTCTCTCTCCAACTGTCTGTCGGTTCTTACTAGTGTATATATTTGTGTGCTCTCCTTGGCTCAGCTCAGTCTGCTGTCTGAGAGCGAAAACAGCAGGAAGAATACTGTTGTGTTTACATCAGAAACAACTTCCTGGGTGTTGCCCAGGGTCTGGCCGTTGGTGAGTGGGTTTGCTCATGACTCCTGGCGGTAAAGAGATTTTAAGTCTAAAGACAGCTCCGGTTACTTTTTTTTTTTATTACGAGAAGACAATGTCAAACATGCTAAAGACAGCTCCGGTTACTTTTTTTTATTTTTTTATTACGAGAAGACGATGTCAAACATTGGAAAAGAATCTAAAATATTTACCGTTGCGCTTTTCATGTGTGCAACTTTTAATCCTACCGTGAAGAAGAAGGCTCTTTGATTTTTATAGTCACAAACAGATGACATATGCTGGGTATAAAGCCCTCCTGGGGATCACACGGCTCTATAGCCTAAGACAGAGTGAGTGCAGTTTTACTACAGCTGCATTGTTGCTCCATTGAGAGAAGGAAAATGCTGAATTTGAAAAAGGCGAACAAACCCAAAGCAAACATAAAGGGAAAGGCATACAGCAAAGAGGCTACGCTATCACTTTTCAGCCGCACTAGTCTCCACGGCGACTGACTGACCCACATTTTCTTTTTTTCTTTGCTCTCTCCCTACTTTAAAGTAGGCAGCAGCTGTTGGGAGGGGTCGGTCCCTAAAATGATGGCAGCAGGTCATCGTCTGTGTGAATACACTGGGACAGTGCACAGAGAAGGACGGAGAAGAGAGGAAATGAACGAACATGAGTGTGGATAAAACACAGGACAGTAATTTACAGGAAAACGTCAAATAGTTTAGACTAAAAAAATTCCTTCAATATATAGCAGTAAGTTTCTGGAAGGTTCTTCAGCTGTCGGGATAACTGGTGCTGTCAAGGGTGGCTGTACAGCAGTGTTTCCCAAACTTTTTTTCTGGGGACCGATATTTTAAAAGTCAAACCTTCGCGACCCAAATCAATAGACATTATTCGTACACTCCTGGGAAACATGATGCGAGACAACCCCACCTGTGGGTCTCGACCCACTGCTTCAGAGTTGGGGCAGATGCACCACCACAGTCCACCTGTTACTGCTCTGTTCCCCAGAGAACATCA